CGCACGCACGCGACGACTTCGGACTCCACGGACCAGAAGAGGGAGGCAGAGACTGTGGCGGTACCCTTGGGAGCCCCTTGCGTTTCTCCACCAGGCGATGCCGATCCTGCCAGGCAAACGTCGTCGAGACACACCTTCACGGACCCACCCCTTGCGACTCTAGGTTGACCGACGACAGAGGTGGTCGCCGTTCGAGTACCACCACAGGTGCGAGAAGCCAAAGGTAAGCTACCCAGCTGATAGATTCGAGGCTCGATGATCGCCGAGGCCAAGGTAAGTTATGCGTTGATTGAACCACTCGGCAGGCCTTCGTCGCTCCGATGGAGGGGGTCGAGAGGTCGGTCGAGGGGGAGCGATAGCGACGCCCAGGGACAAAGCCTATTCAAGTCCTCGGACGCGCTTACTCCCGGAACAACTATTCCCTCGCTCGTTGGCAGAAGGATCGCTGGGAATCGAAACGGTGCGCGCTGTAGGCACCACGCCGACCGCGGCGACAAGGATACGCCGGGGTGGCGTCGCTCTTGCACAGCAGACGGACAAGTGCCACGAAGGTCGTCCCTTTTAGTCTGTTTGGGATGCGAGACCGCAACGCTCCTGGCGACCCGATAGCACCTAGACCCAACGCGGCAAGTGCTTTGTGCTCCTAAAGCTTGACAAAGTACGGCTTCTCTGTGCTAAGCCGCGCAACACCTATTCGTTTCTGGCGCTAGCTCGAGCTCGTATGCAGAGCGAAGAGGTCCGTGTGCCACGTTCATTGCCAGCGGTGAGGTCACGCCTTGAAGTGCATTTCGAGCTAGAGTAGTGACTCTAGCGCAAGTAGGAACAGCGTCCGTGCTTTCCCTTGGTTCAATCATTCCGTCGAGCTGGGTCGAGTAGGCGCGAGCGCGAGATGAGGCTTGATGTCTTCTAGTCCTCTTCGTACCCGCGAGAAGCGCGAGAAGAGGCGATCTAGCTGTAGTTGGAGAGGAGCCGCAGTAGGCTTGGCTTGGCGTAGGAAGTGCCGCCCGCTTGGGGCCAGGGGCCGCAGCTGGCGGTGGGCTTGCACGCACCGTATTGCATTCCGGCGAGGTTTCCTTGGCAAGCCCCGTCGGCCAGTCGGACAATTGCCGTTTCTCGACTGGGTACGATACGAGCGCAAGAGTCAGCGCGAAGACGGCGATGGCATCTCGCTGTACCTGCCGCGACGGCCATCGACCGAAAGCCGAATTCGCAGCATCGTCGTTCCGGGCGACGATACATACCTAGGCGGCCCCCGGCTGGCGGCTCCGGGCAAAAGAGTTGTGAGTACGGCGAAGTGGGCGAGGCAGGGCGGAGGCGGAAGCACTGCGGGTTGCGATTCTTGGGTCCGGATGCTGGATGCAAGGGCTGGCCTTCATGGCTGCCAGGCCACCAGCGACGATGAGGTGCGTGGGTGAAGAAGGGAGGTAGGGGGCCGGTACCAGGAACCGCATGAGGACCCAGGGAGGGGAGGCCCTTGCTGTATGCAAGCTTTGCGAAGGTAGCGAGAAGGCTATGCATGTGAGGTAGGGTTGCGCTAGACTACCACTATCGGGTCCTTGCTCTGCGGCATTCCACGGGCAGGCGGGCTCGCTCTCCTCACCGTATGTCCGGTATCTCTACGGCCCAAGCTCAAAAGATGGGCAAGCTTGCAAGGCAGTGAGTGAGCCAAAGGCGAGTTTGTCCAGACTCCGTTTGGTTGGCGGTCTGCTGGACTCCCTCTTGCCTGCTGAGCCAGCGACGGGAGTGCGGAGCTTGCCTGCCGGCCAGCCTGCTGATCTCAACTTGTGTCCTCGAATGCGCAGCTTATGCCGCCCCCAGATTTGCAGGCGGGGCAGGGAAAGGACAACAGCCAAGGGGGGAAAGGCAGAGGCCGCGGGCGAGGGGGCGGGATGTCTGCACCGGGCACCGCGCCGCCACGTCAAACAGAGCGGGCGGGCCAACGAGCAACTCGCGACTGCGACTGCGCTCCGCCTTGCCGCGGATCGCAATTCAGGCACGCTGCCCCCTCCCTCTACCCGACCTTCTTGGACGGAACGCGAGAACAGACGGTTCCGCAGCCACCTGTGTCTCTCTGGGCCGCCACGCAAGCAAGCGGCGGACACGAGCAAGCAGCGGGCGCAGTCCGCCTGTAGCTCCGACGGCGGAAGTGCGGATCTCGAGCTACATCGTACCGTCCGTACGTTGGCTTTCACGGTGATGAGCCGTGTATGGCTGAGGGGTACCTATCCGGCTTCATTTCGCCAGCCAGCAGAGCGAGGTTCTGAGTTTACAGATCGATGTTTTGGCCGTCTGTGATGACTACTCTTGCGGGCGGGCCATGGCCGGCTGGGCGGCGGGATACCGCATCTCGTCGAAATACGGTCGAGAGCCAGGCTGGTGGGCGCAGTATGTAGCGATGCTGTGGCCTGCGATGGGACCCGGAGGACGCGGCAGGGTAGCGTGGGTGCGCGCGCCCTGTGCAGCGCTGATCGCCAATCTCTTTTCCCGCCGCAGCAGGGGACAAGCCCGGCGCCGTTATACATACCTAGTACGCTCGATATCGGCACTACCGTTTTGCCGTGATCGACAGCATGTCAAGAGTCCCACCCCTGCCTAGTAGGCCCTCTTGTCGCTCGTCAGGGGAGAGAGAGATCAGAGCAGGGAGGCGCGGGAAAGCGAGGTCCGGCGGCGGATGGATGCTGTGTGCTACGTCGCTGGCGCACCCCTGGCCAACCCTTGCGTGGCTGGCTGGCTGGCTGGCTGGCTGGTCGACTGTGGTATGCTTGGCAGGAGGGGGTGACGGGGAGACCCGCGGAAAGGATGAGCCTTGGGAGCGTTGGCAGACCAGGCACCGGTCAGGGACGGCCGTCGTCGTATCCATCTTTGCGTGATCCGAGATGCAGACGAGCAGCCGAAAGATCCGCCTCCCGGCCTGGCTTGGCTCTGCTGCTTGCTTGTTCCCTATTCCCGGCGCGCCCCTGCCTGCTGGCAAGCAACTCGACGGCAGAGGCCGGCGCGTTGGGCATTACAATTGAGCCCCTCCGCCGATTTTCTTATTCGAGATTTTCAATCCTTTTTTCTGGCTGGGCACGGTTAATCGAGGCTCCGGCTGTCCTGCCAAGCCAAGCGCCTGGCCTGGCCTGGCCGTGGGAGGGGTCCCTGGCGTCTGCCACGACTCCTTGCTTGCTTGCTGGCTTTGCCTCTCCATCGCGGCCGGACCCTGCCTAGTGGTGTCGAACGACGTCCTTCCCCGTAGTCGTCGATCTCGTCGCCGTGCAGTAGTCACCGCCGCCGCCGACTGGCGCGCAAGCTTGAGATGGCCTCCGTCATGATCGCCAGGTACGGCCGATGGAGGTTACGTTCTGCCTGACGCGGTGTCCGTGCCAGGAGGCGCTTGCTTCCCTCGCCTTGCTTGCTTGCTTGTTTCGGCAACGCGTCGCTCGGGTCTCAGGCCTTTGAAACAGATCGCCCCGACATCGATCAGGAACCGCAAGGGTTCCCGCCTAGCCTACAGGCTCCGCAGCGCCCGCCACCGTCGCCGTCGCCGAAGCCGCCGCCGCCGCCGCGACGCGACGCCTTCCACCGCAGCAAACACTCGTGCCTGGTCATCGGCCCTTCCTGCCCCTGCCCCTGCCTCGCCCCTCTCCCACGCTGGTAAGCAGAACTCGGGTTGATGCCATGCATTTGCTGCCTCGCCGTTTGGCTTGCTTGTTGCTCGACATCGACGCATCTGCGGTCCAGACGGCGGCAGCCGCACCACCGGACTGCCATGCCTTGCTCGCCCTCGACCCTGGCTCCTCGACGACTCCAGCGCAATCGTTAACGCATACGATGCTTTGCTGCGCGCTCCCCTGGACATCCTGAAAGTACCCGTCAGCGGGCACGACACTCACTCTGTCGCAAAGAGAGTACAGCAGAGTAGCAGTGCGCGACCTTGGCTCTGCGAAGACGGGGGCAGAGCGGGGTCTGGCGCAGAAGAAGCCAGCACAGAACAAACGCAGGCCGCCACACCACGAGGAGGACCAACCGCGGCATCGCAAACCTGGGAGTCAATCCTCGCCAGGGAACCCCCAGGAATGTCCTCCCACCGCAACCATCGGATCTTAGTACACACATCCAGGCCCGGCCTGCAGATCCGTTTGCTCCTCCTGCGAGTCATGCAAGGTCTCTCCCTGTCCAGGAATCCTGCATCGCGCCATGTCCGGGTCTCCTCACTTCCTCTTGCTCCTGCCCGCCACCCGCGAGCAAGATGTCCTTGTCCCTTCCCTCCCTCGGCCCCTTCCTTCCACCCCCCTGCCTCGTCCTCCTCGCGGTGACCCCTGTTCCCTTGCGCTCGCTCCCCGGCCCTTGCCCGACGGCTGCAGAAGCTGCCAGGAAGTGGTTCCCGACGCTAGTTGCCTCCCTGCCCCGAAAGAGCAGAGCGTCCAAGACCGCCGCCGTTCCTCGCAAGCCGCAAGCCGCAGACCGCAAAGCATGAGCCCAACGTTCCGCATGCTGGGCCCAGGATCAGCCTCTCCTCCTCGAGGAGAGAGCCAACCGCTCCAGCCACAGTCGGAGAGCAAAGCACATCCTGCCAAGCCACACTCGACACCGTCCAGGAGCTGGCCACGCCACGCCAGGTCACGCCGTGCCGTGCCGTGCCGTGCCGTGCCTACGGCGCCGGCTGTAGCTCCTCTATGTCGCTCTTCCAAAGGCGCGTCCGGTCCGTATATAACCATGGGCCTCGCCGTCTCTCATCAACCAACCTCTCTCCTCATCATTCTACATCCACTCCAACACTCTCCCTACGGTCTCTCCCTTCGGTCTCCCGGTCTCGTCTCCCCTGGTCTACCCCCTTCCCCCTTCGGTCTAACCCCTACCTCCCCTCTTGCTCCTCATCCCTAGTGCCTGCTAATCTTGCACCCTCGCTCTAATCCGCCTATCGCTCAATCCCCTCAACCCTACTGCCAACCCCCAACCCCCAACCCCAAACCTAGCCTCTTTCCCCCCACCAAACCCCCAACCCCCTAACCCTATCCAAGATGCCTTCCAAGATCGCCCTCTCCATCTCCCTCCTCGCTGCCGCCATGGGCATGGTCAGCGGCGCCCCCCACTGGGGCGAGAGCCACAAGTCGTACAACGGCGGCCACAACGTCGAGTCGACCAACGAGAACAAGCTGCTCGACCTCTCCAACCTCGGCCTCGGCATCGATCTGCTCAAGCGCGGCGAGTCGTCGACGTGCCACAAGTACATTTCCACCTACGACGCCGGCCACAGCGTCTACAACTTCAACTCGAACAAGCTCGTCGACCTGAGCAACCTCACCCTCGACCTCGAGGTCCTCGGCGGCGGCCACAGGCGCGTCTGGCACGGTGTCCCCCACTCGTGCATCTCGTACATCAAGAGCTACAACGGCGGACACAACGTCGTCAACGTCAACGAGAACGCCCTCGTCGACGCCTCGGACCTCACCGCCCTCATCAGCATCCTCAAGCGCGACATTGAGCTCTACGACGGCGGCCACAACGTCGACTCGACCAACGAGAACAAGCTTCTCGACCTCTCGAAGCTGACGGCTCTCGTCGACGTGCTCAAGAAGCGCACCAACTCGGTCGAGTCCTACAACGGTGGCCACAATGTCGAGTCCACCAACGAGAACAAGCTCATTGACCTCTCGAAGCTCACCGCGCTCGTCGACATCCTCAAGAAGCGCCACGCCACCTTCGAGTCGTACAACGGCGGCCACAACGTCGAGTCGACCAACGAGAACAAGCTCGTCGACGCCTCCAAGATCAAGATCGGCGTCGACGTCCTCAAGCGCAACGCCCCCAGCTTCTCCAAGTACAACGGCGGCCACAATGTCGAGTCGACCAACGAGAACAAGCTCGTCGACCTGTCCAAGCTCACGGCCATCGTCGATGTTCTCAAGAAGCGCACCAACTCGGTCGAGTCCTACGACGGCGGCCACAACGTCGAGTCCATCAACGAGAACAAGCTCATCGACCTCTCGAAGCTCACGGCCCTCATCTCGATCCTCAAGCGCGACGAGCCCCAGCTGCTCGCCCGCACCACCGAGGGCGTCAAGTCGTACAACGGCGGACACAACGTCGAGTCGACCAACGAGAACAAGCTGATCGACATCTCGGACCTGCTCGCCATCATCAAGGTGCTCAAGCGCGACGAGGAGTCGTCGATCCAGGCCCGCGACCTGATGGGCGAGGTCTACCGCCGCACCAACGGCGACGAGGACTGCACCTGCGTCACCAAGCCCAAGCCCAAGCCGCAGCCCAAGCCGCAGCCCAAGCCCCAGCCCGAGGAGTGCGACACCACCGACAAGGCCAAGCCCACCCCCAGGCCCAAGCCCACCCACCACCACCACCACACGAAGACCCAGAACTGGACCACCAAGACGCACGAGCCCAAGCCCAAGCCGACCGGCGACAAGCCCAAGCCGGTCCCCGAGACGCCCGAGAAGCCCAAGCCGGTGCCCGAGACCCCGCACAAGCCCACGTGCACTGACAAGCAGGTCTACATCGACCAGGGCCACAACGTCGTCTCGACCAACGAGAACAAGCTGCTCGACCTCTCGGACATCACCATCGGCATCAGCATCCTCGGCCTCGGCGGCAAGAAGGAGCAGAAGAAGGTCCCCGGCAGCGCCACCTGCACCTCGGCCCAGGGCTGCTGCGTCGACCGCGACGTCTACTACTACAACGGCGGACACAACGTCAAGTCGACCAACGAGAACAAGGGCCTCGACCTCTCCGGGCTTAACCTCGGCCTCGACATCCTCTAGAGATTGGGCTCCCCTGCCCGCCTTTCCTCCCCGAAAAGGTCAGGACCGCTCCTGGGGCACGGCTGTCGCGCCTGGTTCGCGACTGTCTCTCCATCGGGATGGCCTGACCTGGCCGTCAAGGTAGCTGCAGCAGCAGGCCGGGCTCGATTCGCACGGGGCTCGTGGCATCGCGGCGCGGGCGCTGGGTCGAGGATTGATCCTCGATCCGCTCCGCCCTCCGATCCAACAGTCCAATGTCGTTGCGGCCCGGCTCTCTCTGCCACCCGCTCTCTCTCGTTCTTGTCATCGTTCTCTGGCTTTGCATTGTTCCTCCCGTCACCATCCTCATCCCTCCCCCGCCTCTCTCTCCTCTCGGGCCTGACCACCCTCGACGAGACCCTGGACACTTTATCTCGCCCACCCCCCCCTCACTAGCTCGACCTCGATCACCAGAGGTTGACTCGCACATTCCTTATCACCGCAGCCGGGACACTGGATGCTCCCGCTCTCCGGGGATCCTCTTCCTTGTGCGCGTGCACACACATTCGTTGCTTTTCTTTCCCCTCGTGTATTCTGGGCTGTAGAACCGTCCCCTTCTCCCGCTCCCGTTTCTTTCCATCATCCCACCTCACCTCCCTAGCTTCGTGGCGCGGACCTAGACCACCCGTGCCATGATCCCGAATCCGACCACTGAGACCAAACCTTCCTCTGCCCGTGCTTGATCGCGTTCGTCGGTCCTTGATGGCGACGAAATGTCCGTTCCGAAGGATCTTGCTTGGGATGTCTTCTGCTCGGCATCGACGGCGATCCAACCCTCTGACTCTCATCCCAGCCTGGCGGGAAGGAGCTCGATCCTCGACTCGGCCACGACCGGCTTAGGCTCCGGCTCAGGCTCAGGCTCAGCAGCTGCCACGCGAAGCTGCGCCAACCACTTGTAGCAGTTGCCCTCTCCATGGACGGAGACGCAGGCGTCGCAGAAGTCGAAGTCGGTCATGGCGCCGTCGCAGGCGTACCACAGCTCGTTGCGGGCGCCGTCGCGGCGTCGAAGCGCGCAGCGGCGCAGAACGTTGCGCGGCTGCGTCGCCGGATCCACCGGTGCTGCGCGGCTCGGGTCCCTCGAGGAGGGCGAGAGGTCCACCTTGCACGTGAGTGTGCTGTAGCGGTAGTGCTTGATCGGTCCAGCGGCCGCGGCTACGACGACGACGAGGAGAAGGAGGAAGAAAGAGGGGACGAGGCGGACGCGTGCATTCATCTTGTCGAGGCCTGTTCCGCGAGGGCAAGGAAGGTGATGGTGTGAGATGGGGAGCAGATGCCGTTGCCCTCTTGCGAAGGATGACCGCTCACCTTGTAGAGTGCGTATGCGATGGTAAGGGATGTAGGGGAAGACGAGAAGACGATGAAGATGTGAGACGAGTCACGATTCCCTCGCCCGACCTCGCCCTTTATACCTATGCCACACGGCAGCCATCCCTGCGACGCCATCGAGGGCATCTCTCCTCCGAACAAGCGCCCACAAACTCGCTCGCTGGTGCCTCGCATCTTGGACACAGGTACGTTGAGTCCCAGGACGGAGGCGATCCGGCCTGATTGCGAGCTCGTTCGCCTCGGGCCGTGTGCCCGCGTCCAACTGGCCGCTCGGGCGCAACGTGGCGTACCGTGACAACGACCGGAAGCCATGCCGACCCCCCGTCCCGACGTCGCTGTCCTTGTCATCCAACTAGGTTCGGGCTAGCCGGACCAATGGCGCTCGCCCCGGTCCCCTTTGAACCACGCGGTTTGACGTTGCACTGAAGCCACCGTGGGGGGCGTGGGCAGGTCAGTTCTGCTCGCGCCGAGCGTAGTTGCCGCGTGCGCCCCATGGCCGTGAGGCACACACGAGGCAATAGCAATCAGTCCGAATGCCCGAGGAAGAGACGGAAAGGCAACTTTGATTGAATCAGGGGACGAGGGAACTGACTACGCCTCAACGGGCGAGTCGTGAGGGGAACGAGACAATGGAAGCTCTGGGGACCGTGGCTTTTCCACCGCATCAGGGTGATACAGAGACTGCCATTGAGGGAACCAGGAGTCTTGGGATGGCGGAGCGAGGCAGCGTCGCGTCGGATTGCGATGGCGTTGCATGTTGCGCGCCGCCATGTCCAGCCAAGGACGTCTTCTTGACTCGACGAGCGACGCGATTGGACATCGCCAAAGCTGCGCTATCGACCCAGCTTCACCTGCTGCCCGCCATCGTGCAGCCCGCCGCAGCTTAGCAGCCGGTGGGCGTGCCGCCGGCGCTCTTGCAGAGGGCGCAGAACTTGGGGAGGTCGAGGGCGGCGGCGCAGTCGTTCTTGGGGCACTGGCCCAGGGCGTTGCCCGAGGGGATCTTGCCCGGGGCGGGAATCTTGCAGCCGGCCTTGCCGTGGCTGATCTGACGAGGTCCCTGGGCCATGGCGCTGCCGGCCGAGGCGACGAGGGCAACAAGGACGAGGGCGGTCTTGACGGTGAACTGCATTCTGCTGGAGGTGTGGGAGGGCGTAGTAGGGCGCGTGGGGGAGCAACGGAAGGCAAGGATCAGCTTCCGCAGCAAAGGGCCAGACCGTTCCGTCGAGCCGATGAGCCAGGTAGAGCTCACTTTGCTAGATTGGCTGGGTTGGGAGATTGGTTGTGGTTGCGAGAATTGGCAAGAGAGAGCGGTAGTGAGAATCTGTCTGAGTGGTTGTATGATGGCGATGAGAGAGGGAACCATGATAGACCCCGACCTTTTATCCCATCGACCGTGACCAAGTAGCCGTGGTTGTCCTCGTAGCTCGTCCTACCTCGATGTGCAGCAGAGTATCGCCCGGCCTTGGAGCAGCTGGCTCGCTGGGACAGCCGTGCTTCGAGCCGCCCTCTCGAAGGACGGCGTTGCGTGCCCCATGGTCGATGCTGCCTTGGGACGACGACCGGAGTTCGTCTGCCGGCCAGGGTCACCAACCGGAACGGCAGCGGTGTGCCTCCGTCAAGCAACCTGTCGCACCTTGTGGTGCGGCGTGGCGTCGACCATGCTGTGGCCCGGGGCGTTCAAGCTTGCTCCTTGTCCGGGTGGCGTGGGAAGACGCGTGGGCCGTCAGACGAAGACGTTTCGCGGACAAAGGGGGCGACTGAAAGGGTGTGAAGATGGTGGTTGGACGATAGGTTTGCCCTCTGCGGTGGCACAGCCCTGCCGAAGGCGAGGCAGATCAGTCGGTCCGGGTAGGCTGGCGGCCCGTGAGGGTGGACGACGAATTGGTGGCTGTCGACGCCCCGAGGATCCCGGCGACGGCCGAGGGCAGTGTTCGTGCTCGGCCGCCACAAGGTAGTGCCGCCTGACGTTCGGGGCGTGGGCCAACGTGGTCGCGGTCGCGACCAGACGTCGAGGGTGGTGGCTTTTGTTACGCTTTGGCCTCGTCGACTACGCCCCTCGGAGGTCGGGCTGCCCGACGAGCACGCTTGCTACGGCACCCTATCCGTCCGGGTCGAGCCGCGAGGAGCACAGCCGCACGGCACGGCGCCAACCTTGTTCTGATCAACATCGGCCTGGTCCGAAGCGGAGGTGGCCGATGGCAAGCTCCAGACCGGGGCGGAGACCGGCTCTTCCGTCGAGCTCTGAGACGCGTGTCCACGACCAAGCTCTTCCGGTCGAAACTGCCTGCCCCTATCTCTCGGCCATCTCCTGAACGCAACCGGCCTACTGACCGGCGCTGGCATCTTTGCTCTTCGACCTAGAGTGACTTGGTCTGCGGGGCTTAACACTGTCGCGGGCGACGATGACGAGCCGTGGGAACAAGGTCCCTCAGTCGCGCTGCGCTGGCAAAATGGACGAGCGCATGGTCGTGCGGAGGGTCATGGGACAAACGACCCACTAGAAGCCGTCTGTCGCAGGCTATGGTGTCGAGCAGCTGCTCGACAGTGCAGCATGCAGCGACTAGCAGGCAGGCAGGAAGACCGGCTGGCAGGCGGGGCAGCTAGCGGCGTTCATGCTCAGTCCAAGGTGACCCTGTGGGTGAGCAGGCAAAGCAAGGCGAGACGACAGCGAAGACCTCAATGATGATGTGGGCACAGCAGGGCGAAGGGCTTCACCCTGGCCTCGTGTAGCGCAAAGGCATCTGTCCCCATCTACTTCGCTCGACGAGCCACAAGCAAGAGGCCAAGTAGCGTGACATCTAACGTACTATGTAGGCTCATCTGCAAGATGGCGCTTTGGCGAGGTGCCGCCATCGTGCTTCCGAAGCCTCGTCCTCGTTTGACCCCGCGGTCGCAGAGTCACCTACTACGCGCGGTGCCGCTGCGCCCATTCGCCCTCGCTAAGCACCATATTCGCGGCCGAAGACCTGTTTCTACAGTAACGATGGATGGAAGGATGCACTACATGTGCTTGGTCGCAACACCACCGCCCTTCTCGGGCTACAGCACGACGGCGTCAGCAGAGGAGCAGTCCGTGACAGGCTCACACACACACACGCGGCCTTCCGCGCGCTGAGCAGCGCCTTCCGTGGCAGTCCACCTGTTTGACCGAACGTGCGGGGTGCACATTAGCCTCTCGAGCTGGCAAGTTCCCAGCTGAAGCGATGAACGGACGCTGTGTCGAGCCTCTCTACGTACAGAACTTACCCTCACTCTCTCTTGCTTGCTCGCTCGCTCGCTCGTCACGACTTCGTCGTCTCTGCATGCGATGCGCGGGTGCCAAAGATAGCTGGCTCTGTGCGAAGCTAGAGCAACTACTGTACTTGCCTGTGTGCGTGGTTAGGTGATGATGATGATGATGCTGATTGATCCACCGTACGAGGGGCGCCGTCCATCACTCTTTTCTGACTCTTGCCCGCAACGGGAAGGTCATGGTCGACGGGCGTCGAGGTGCTCCAACAAATCGACGGATGGAAAACACTTCAACCCGGCCCCTCCATTGTTCCCCCTGCCTGCCATTGCGGTGCTCCACCGTGTCGCAGCAGGATCAGCATGACGTCTCTCATGCCCATCTCCCCCTCCTTCCGAAAAGGCGGTAGGAGCTGCCGTACGGCAGCCTAGCCTGCCGTTGCGCCCCGCCCAAGGCCAGGGTCAAAACTCTACTTCGTTGGACCGCCGGGCCTTTCGGGTCGATCCTCGTGCAAGGACCCTCGGTGCCTTCGCCTTTCTCTTCCGAGGGCTATCGACCGGTACAAGGCGAGACGTCACCGCCCTCCCCGCCTGCCTGCTGCTATTCTTATTCTTTTGACATGTCGTGCCGTCCCGCCTGACCGACGTCGACCAACGGGCCGGTCATCGAGCCGTCAATCCGAGGGTGCGGGGCAAGCCACTCTCTCACCTACCGCGCCGTATCGACCCGCACGCATCCTTGAGCGGTCCACGTTCAACCGCTCCGCGCTACGCAATGCGGCCCGACCATGCAAAAGCAAAAGGCAGGCAGGGGGTCGAGGCAGCAGGTTCGGTTAGATGAGGATCCGCCCGCTTCGCTTGACTGATTGACCGCTAACCGCTAGCTCGCGACGCTAGATATAGACCTCGTTGGAGAAGTGTATGTACGTGTAGGTACGTGTGCGACCGGTCCTCCGCTCGACGAGAGACAAGCGCCGGTAGAGTGACCTGGTGACCCTTCCTTGTTCGGCGGGCGCCTCTCTTCACCTCTGCGGTGGCCCTGTACGGCCTCGCCGTTGACTAGGTTGCTGTCCGACGGAAGTCGCCGTACGAGCCATCTAGCGCGCAAGCTAAGTCAATCGGCTACAGGTTGCGCCTCCTGGTCACTCCTCCTGGTTTCACCTCTTGGCCTGTCCTCGAGCAACGCACACTACTGCGGGCCGTCCCACCTTCACAACGGAGTACAGTACCGTCGTCCAGTTGGAGGCAGTCTGCCGTGCCGTCGTTCGACAAGGGGCCGAGCCTGAGCCTCGGCGCGCGTCAGTCCACCCCGACCAAAGGTCGATGCTTGGATGCTAAACTCGCCGTCGACGGAACGCCTCTACGGCGTCCTCGTCATTCCTCTTGTCGGTGTGACCCTCTAGAGTGGCCGCAGTGATTCACAGCAGTCAGGCGAGAGTGGGGCATTGGGGTGCGTGGCCTCCGGCGCCCTTCCGCTCTGGGGGACGCCACGGTCATGGAGGCAGGTTCGGCGACTTTGGGCACGCCACGCCCCATCCGGGCTATATAACATGGCGCCTCTCCTCCAGATCCCATCGGCCCCTTCTGCCCCCTCCGATACCTTCTCTTTCAGCCGCTACGGACTCCTCCCAGTGCCCTTTCCCTCTTGCCTTTTACTCCTCTCTCAGTTTTCTCTTCCCGCTGCCAAATCCTCTTGTTACCGCCCCCTCTCGCCGCCATCCACAGCCGCCCTCCGTCCCCCTCAGCGCCTCATACACTCCGATCCGAGCACGATGCAGCTCTCCAGCCTCCTCCTTTCCGCCTCGCTCCTTGCGACTTCGGCTTTCGGTGGACCGGTGGGCCAGGACTCGACGTCCGAGGCCGAACTCATGGTCCGCGGGCAGAGGCGCAACGTCGACTGGCCTAACATGCTCCTCGACCGTTCCCTCGACGAGCGCGAGTCAGAGGACCTCGTCAAGCGCATCGTCTGGAACCCCAAGATCACTGCTCCTGCCGGTGGAGAGAACTGGACGGCTGGGTCCGAGCAGCTCGTTAGCTGGTGAGTTTGGTTCGCCTCGTCTTGTCGCGACGAGCCTCGTCGTGGGCGCGTTGGCGTCGGCGTGGGCGCTGCTCTGACATGTCATGGTTTCCTTTCTGTCCCTCAATCTGACAGGTCGACGGCGGACAAGCCAGAGGAGCTCAAGGACCCCAAGGGCCGTATCATGCTGGGCTACGAGCCCGCCGACGGCGCCGGAGGCCTCAACCTGAGTGAGTCGCCCGACCCCCCACCTGCACCATGTCGAAGCCGCCGTCGTGCACCCCGCTGACCGTCATCTCCCCCTCCTCCTCCGTCTACCCCCCCACCGTCCTTACACGCGCGGCAGAGTGGACGCTGGCCGACGGCTTCGCACTCAACGACGGCAACAAGAGCGTCACGCTGCCCTCGGACCTCGAGGCTCGACAGGACTACATCGTCGTCGTCTTTGGCGATAGCGGCAACACGTCGCCCAAGTTTTCCAGCGGTCCGGCTCCTCCTACCTCGGGCTCGGCGGCACCGGCACCCGAGGGACGGAGCTTCTTCGCCGCCGACCTCATCGGCATCGACGTCGTCTGAACCGCCGTCAATGGCCCTCTGCTCATTCTCGCCCTCCGGACATCTAGACGATGCCCAAGGAGCGTGGCTGCTTTCTGCCTCTTGCACGCATCTCTGTGCTCTCTGCACTCGCTCTCCTGACCTGCCCTGCTGTCCCGTTCTGCCCTGCCCTGCCCTGCTCTGCTCTGCTCGTCCCGCCATCATCGCACACCATCCGCCGCCACTCGCTGCCGCCACCACAATCGCCACACTCCTTCAGCACCGCCCTCGCATTCTGTACATAGATTACCATGCTCCGTTTCCCGCCCGCTCGCCCGCCCGCTCTCCCCCCTCGCCGCGCGCCGTCTCTGCTTCCCTGCACGCTTCGCATGGCTGGACGAAGTCGTTCGGACCTTCCCCCTTCGCCCAGGCACGCCGGGGGGTCCGGATCGACTTGCGTCTCGGCGCGATGTCGCTCTCCGTCGTCAGCAATCAGCATGGCCACCGCTCTCGGACAATGCCCTGAACAATACACAAAGCAATCTCTTGCCTCGACTTTTCTGTCTTGCCCGCTGCCGATCCTGCTGCTGCTACATATATCCTGGCCCTGCCTCTAAAGCTGGCCCTGCTGGTCGTCGTAGATGCCCTCGAGGAGCTCGAGGATCTTCCTGTACTCGTCCGAGTCGCTCGGCTTATCGGCGCCGAGGGTCCTCTGGGTGATCTTTTCGAGGTCCTCGCGCGGAACGCCCTGCGACTTGAGGGTGACGTGCAGGTCGAGATCGCGGACGAGGCGATCGACGGCCTTTCCGACCTCGGCGCCCTTGCTCCTCAGCTGCGCGGCGTCGAGGGATGTGGCGCTGCCGACGGCGGGGGCCAGTGGCTGCGGGCTCGGGTTGAAGGGGGCCGGGATGTACTCGAGCGCGCCTGCGAGGGCGGCGAGGGCCTCGAGCGGGGTCTCGTCGCTCTGGGCCGTGTGGATGATGGCGGGGGAGAGGGTGAGGCACGAGGTGATGCCGTGGCCGATGGCGTAGGTGGCTCCGAGCTTGTGTCCGAGGCCGTGGCTGAGGCCGAGGGCGCCGCGACGCAGCTCGGGCCAGAGGGAGATGAAGGCGGCGAGCTGGAGGCGCTGGCGGATGTCGACGTCGTCCGGACTACGCTTCGAGAGCGGGAGGAAGGTGAATAGCTCGCGGATGGCGTTGTAGACCTGGCCGCGCAGGAGCGGGTGGGTGTCGAAGCGGTAGAGGAACTCGATGGCGTGGTCGACGGCCCTCATGCCCGTCGAGAGCCAGAGGCGCTGCGGGGTGGCGAGGGTGAGCTGGGCGTCGTAGATGATGGTGCGCGGGATGACGGCCGGGTGGTGCACGCCGATCTTGTCGCCGTCGTCGGACTTGTAGCCGGCGTTTGCGGTCGTCTCTGCGACGCTGAGGGTGGTGGGGATGGCGATGATGGGGATAAACGAGTCCGGATGGTCGTTGCCCTTGGTGCTCTGGTCGTTTTCGTGGATAAAGTAGGAGATGGCCTTTGCGGCGTCGATGGGCGACCCTCCGCCGACGGCGACGATGACGTCTGCGCCGACTTGCTTGATCTGGTTGGTGGCGTCGCGGATGCCCGAGACGGGGGCGTGCTCGCCGATGGAGTGGAAGGTGGTGCCGTGCGCGTCGCCGAGGACGGACTGGATGTCCTTGATGATGTCGGTCTTTGTGGCGAGCGAATTTCCGGTGAGGACAAAGGCCTTTTTGGCGCCGAGCTTGGCGAGGGAGGCGGGGAGGGCGGCCGAGACGATGCCCGGACCAAAGTGGACAGTCTGGAGCGAGGTGTTGTTGTAGGTGCCCTGCGGGCTAGAGAGCGACATGGCGGGCGAAATGGTGGGTTTGGGGGGGTGCGTCGTGGAGAAGTGGATTGTAGTGGCAGCGGTGGTGGTGGTGGCAGGTCGTCCGGGGTAAGTTAGCTGCTTGGGTTAGGCAGCGCTAGTTGACCCCGGGAGCGGTCAATAGCCGGCCCGCCCACGGGCCATCCCAAGCGTCTCGGCCTTGGGTCGAGTTGACGGCTAAACCCGGAGATGCCAATCGGGCTGGTGGCTAATCGGGCTTGACCACTGATCCGCGCGCGGCGATCTGCAGGCTGGCCACCGGACGTTGGGCGATGGAAACGGAGCGCAGATCGACGGCATGGTGCAGCAAGGCCTCCTAGGCCCAAGCAAGGGTCCATCGCGTTGCGGCCTGGCAGCTTTGCGTTTCTTCTTGGCCGCCTCGCTGGCCTGCACCACCATCAGCAGAGGCCAGGGCCCAGGCTTGGTCTTGGCTGTAGTCAGCCCTGCCTGCCTTGCTTTGGTCGAGCAAGCAAGCTGGACAGCAGGCGACCAGATCTCACCTCGCCTGCATCACTACTCGACCTCGTTGGCCATCTGTGGGGCACCACGAACCAGCCCCAATGCTGCTGCTGGCCTGCCGCTGGCCTGCTGCATGCCTGCATGGGCTGCGCAGCTGGCTTGGCTGCTTTTTGGCGTCCCGCCGCGTCGTTTGGGGCCCGCGCGGTGTCGACACGATGTCACCTCGCTGCGGCTTGATGCGTCGATCGGGCGGGCCACCTGGACAGGCAGCCAACCATGAGCCCATCTGCCCCCCGCCAGCCAGCTGTTGCTTTGCTCGTTGCTTGGCTGCCAAGCGAGCGGGCGACCCTCGGGCAGCTCGAGACCCTGCCTGCCTGCCTGTCCGATTGGCCTATGTAGGCCTGCGCCTGCCTCTGGCTCTTTGCCTGCCGACTATCGAATCGATGCGATCTCGACCAGGGGGCGACTGCGCATTCCATCCAGCCACGCTCGAGCCCTCTCTTGCCTGCTTGCTTGCTTGCTTGCTTGCTCGCTGCTGCTTCTTCTCGACCCGCGACCCCTCCCTCGTCTGGCCATCTCCGCCACCCCAGCCTCTCTCGATCGACGACGAGCCGGTCCGCCTACATCATCCCCTCGTCTCTTTCACCTCGACGACCACCAATCCCCCCCCCCCCCCTTTCTCCCTTGTCCCCTCGTCTTCCCTTCTCGCTCGCACTCTTTCCACCCCCTAGACTTCCACACCACCGCATCCCTCCGCATACCCTTCCGCACGCCAGCGAGGCGCTCGACACCATGCCGGCTCCCGTCCGCAAGGCCGCATCCTCGGCCAACGGCACCCCAAAGGGCAACGGCAGCGCCCCAAAGACCACAAAGCAGCCCGCACCTTCCACCTCGTCCCCTCTCAGGGTCTTTGAGCTTCGTCTCGAAGAGGATGGCAGCCCTTCCGACCAGAGATCCGTGAGCATACGCGCAGGCCCCTCCCGGACCCACCATCAGCATGCACTCGTATTGACGTCTCCTCCTCCCACTCTCCCCCTCGACAGTACATCCGGCTGCCCGCACCGCTCGAGCCCTACCTACTGCGCTTCTCCATCGACGCCGGAAGCCTAGCCTCCAAGCAGGCCAAACTGTTCTCCAACTACCCCGCGTCAAAGAGCCAGTTTGACAGGACCACATTCGTCGACAGGAGGTGAGTGTCCAACATCTCCCCGCGACGAGGAGGCCTTCTCGATGCGCAGTGACACGCACGCTGACCATCCTCGCGAGCGCCCCGGCCCACCGCACCCACAGCTTCCCCGCCGACCTGACCCGCCCCAACTTTGTCGACCTCATCATCGACCGCGCCGGTGTCTTTGAGTTCTACGTCGAGTTCACCACCGAGGAAGACGACGAGGACCTCTTCAAGAAGAGCAGCGATGGCCGCACTCGGAAGCAGGGCAAGCACGGCTACTTCAACGTCGACCCCGTCCTCAAGGCGCCCGTGCGCAAGCCCATCCTCGGCCCCGACTCTCGCCCTCTGTCGGCAGACAAGGGCGGTGGCCAGGTCACCGGCGATGTCGAGCTGCTGCCGCTCGACGGCCTCGTCCTGCAGACGCTCATCGCAAAGTGGGCCGGGTCACTGGGCGAGTGGGAGCCCCACCTCCAGTGCGCAAAGGAGGCCGGCTACAACATGCTCCACTTTCCCCCGCTCAACGTCAGGGGCGCCAGCAACAGCCCCTACTCGATCGCAGACCAGACCGACTTCTCCCACGACCTCTTTGACGCCAAGACGGGCAAGGCGGCCACCAAGGAGGACCGCGCCCGCATCATCAAGGCCGAGATGGCCAAGATCAAGGAAAAGTGGGGCATCCTGAGCATGAGCGACGTCGTCTGGAACCACACGGCCCACAACAGCCCCTGGCTCAACGAGCACCCCGAAGCGGCCTACAACCCGCTCAACTCGCCCCACCTCACCCCGGCAGAGGAGCTCGACCGCGCGCTCCTCGAGTACAGCGGCAAGCTCGGCGAGCTCGGGCTGCCGACGGAGCCAAAGAGCGACCAGGAGGCTTCCGCCATCGTTGACGGGATCAAGGACCACGTCCTGCCCAAGCTCAACCTCTGGCAGTTCTACGTACTCGACGTCAAGGCCGAGACGGCGGCATTCCAGTCGGCATGGGAGAAGGGCCAGGCCGATGACGCGGCCGTCAAGGCTCTCAGCTTGCCTGACAGCCCCTCGCTGCAGGAGGCGGCCAGCATCGTCCGAGAGCATGCCCTGCACCACCAGATGGCCCTGAGCGCCAGGTTTGTCACCAGCCTCGATGCGCCCCTCGCTGCTTCCATCTTCAGGACCATCTGCCGCGGGCGATCCGACTCTGAGACGCTCGACTTCTTCTCCAAGGTCATCGACGAGGTCAACAGCTCGCTCTACAAGACGTACGACGACGACGTCAAGGCGATCCTCGACAACCTGCTCGGGCGCCTCAAGTACACCCGCGTCGACCCCAACGGCCCCAAGCTCGGACCCATCACCGCATCGAGCCCCTTCTTCGAGCCTTACTTCACGCGGCTCGACCCGAAGAACCCCGCGTGCAAGAAGCGGGATCCCAGGGAGCTGGCCCTGGCCAACAACGGCTGGATCTGGGCCGCGGACCCGCTCGAGGACTTTGCGTCTCCGTCGTCGCGCGTCTACCTCCGCCGCGAGGTGATTGTCTGGGGCGACTGCGTCAAGCTGCGCTACGGCAAGAAGCCCGAAGACTCACCCTTCCTCTGGAAGCACATGGAGGCCTACACGCTGCTCCTCGCGTCCGCGTTCGACGCCTTCCGCATCGACAACTGCCACTCGACGCCGATCCACGTCGGCGAGCACTTCCTCGACATTGCGCGCCGGGCCAACCCCAACCTCTACGTCTGCGCCGAGCTCTTCACGGGCAGCGCCGAGATGGACGTGCACTTTGTCAGCCGGCTCGGCATCAACTCGCTCATCCGCGAGATGGACAACGCGCATGATCCCAAGGAGGAGAGCCGCCTCCTCTACCGGTTCGGCGTCAACAAGCCGATTGGATCGATGGACGAGGCCTGCCTGAACGAGGAGGGCACCGCCACCCTGCCCGATTCCAAGGCGCCGGTCCCCTGCACCATCCAGCAGCTGGACGGCTCGAGCCCGCACGCCCTCTTCATGGACCTGACCCACGACAACGAGACCCCGACGTCCAAGAGGACGACCGAGGACGCCCTGACCATGGGCGCCCTGGTTGCCTTCTCGTGGTCCGCCATCGGCAGCACCAAGGGCTTCGACGACCTGTACCCCAAGACCCTCGACGTTGTCCAGGAGAGCCGCAAGTACGCCACCAACGCCCACCCCGAGGCCAGCGGTATCGGCGCCGTCAAGCGGCTGGTCAACCACCTGCACACCGAGATGGTGCTGCGCGGCTACTCGGAGGGCCACGTCCACCAGGAGAACGACTACATCATTGTCCACCGCGTCCACCCGCAGACGCACGAGGGCTTCCTGTGCCTCGCCCACACGGCCTTCAATGCCCGCGGCAAGGACCGCGGCTCGATCAGCCCCGTGCGGCTCGACCGCACCAAGGCCACGTTCATCCTCGGCAAGTCGCTCGAGATCGTCGACCGCAACGTCAAGGAAGATGCAAAGGAGCTGCGGGGCTTCGAGTCCAAGCTCGTCGACGTCGAGACGCCGCAGCTCAAGGAGGGCACCAACGAAGACGGCGGCGCCTACACCGAGATCTGCATCCCGGACAGCTTCCCCCCGGGCAGCATCATGGTGTTTAGCACGTCGATGTCCGGCCTCGGAGCCGACGTCGACTCCATCTGCTCCAAGGGCGCGGCCGATGCCATGGCCTCGCTGGACCTGGTCCACCTCAACGTGCTGCTGCACCGCGCCGACGGAGAGGAGAAGGACGTCACCGGAGGCAGCGATGGCGTCTACGAGATCCCCGAGCACGGCAAGCTGGTCTACTGCGGCCTGGAGGGCTGGATGTCGGTGCTGAGGAGCATCATGGAGCGCAACGACCTCGGCCATCCGCTGTGCGGCCACCTGCGCAAGGGCACCTGGGCGCTCGACTACGTCCACGCCCGCCTCGAGAGGCAGGTCGGCCTGTTCCCCAAGCTGGCCGCCCCCGCCGCCTGGCTCAAGGAGCGCTTCGACCTGATCGCCTCGACCGTGCCCAACTTCCTGCGACCCAAGTACTTTTCGCTCGTCATCAACACGGCCTACCGGGCCGCCCGCGCGCGCGCCATCTCGCAGATGTCGCCGTTTGTCCAGCACAGCCACGACTTTACCAAGTCGCTCGGCCTGTGCGCCGTCCAGATGAACGGCACGGTCAAGACGGCGTCGCTCTGGCCGGACCGCGACGTCGCGTCGATGGCCGCCGGCCTCCCCTTCTTCGCGGCCTCATGGGCCCGGCTATGGGGCCGCGACGTCTTCATCTCGCTGCGCGGCCTCTACCTGGCCACGGGCATGTACGGCGCGGCGAGGGAGCACATCCTTGCCTTTGGCTCGACGCTCAAGCACGGCCTGATCCCCAATCTGCTCGACTCTGGTCGGACTCCACGCTACAACTGCCGAGACGGCCCGTGGTTCTTTGCACAGAACGTGCAGGACTACACGAAGATGGCGCCGGACGGCGTCAAGATCCTCGACGAGCCCGTCAAGCGGCGCTTCCCCAAGGACGACGAGTGGATCGCCTGGGACGACGCCAAGGCCTACTCGTACTCGAGCACCGTGGCCGAGCTGATCCAGGAGATCCTGCAGCGGCACGCCAGCGGCATCCACTTCCGCGAGTACAATGCCGGCCCCGCCATCGACAACGACATGCACCCGGACGGCTTCAACATCGACATTGACGTCGACTGGAAGACGGGCATCATCTTTGGCGGCAACCAGCACAACTGCGGCACCTGGCAGGACAAGAACGGCTCGTCGGCGCGCGCCGGCAACAAGGGCGTGCCCGGCTCGCCGCGCGACGGCGCGGCCATCGAGATCACGGCGCTGCTCAAGAGCACCCTGACCTGGGTCGACGGCCTGCAGCGAAGCGGCAAGTGGAAGCTGGCCAAGGGCGTCGAGGCGACCGTCGACGGCAAGAAGCGCCTGGTGACGTACAAAGAGTGGGCCGACCTGCTCCAACGCTCGTTCGAGGAGGCCTACTACGTCCCCGCCTCGGCCAACGAGGACGCAAAGTACAAGGTCGACTCGAGCCTGGTCAACCGCAGGGGCATCTACAAGGACATCTTTGGATCATCCAAGGGGCGCGAGTGGGCCGACTACCAGTTCCGCTCCAACTTTCCCATTGCCATGTGCGTGGCTCCCGAGCTCTTCGACCCGGAGCACGCCCGCCTGGCGCTCAACAATGCGCGCAAGATTCTCGTGGGCCCGCTGGGCATGAAGACGCTCGACCCGGCCGACTACAACTACCGGCCCAACTACGACCAGACCGAGAACGACGATCCCGCCACGTCGTGCGGCTGGAACTACCAGTGAGTCGGCGTTGGGTCGAGGCGGCATCACGTCGAGGCGGGCACCTCAGGACGTCCGTCTGTACGAGCTCAACTGGACGACGACTGACGCCGACATTGTCGCTTTCTCCTCCTCCTCCTCCCTCCCTCCCTCCCCTCTTGCAGCAACGGACCGGAATGGGTGTGGCTGCGGGGCTACTACCTTCGCGCCGTGTTCCACTTTGGCTCCGAGGCCGGCGTGGCCAAGGCCGAAATGACGCACCGCATCAATGCGCTGCTCCTCGAGCACCGCCGCCACGTGCGCGCCTCGCCCTGGGCCGGCCTGCCCGAACTCACCCAGGCCGACGGCAAACACTGCCCGGACTCGTGCGCCACCCAGGCCTGGAGCGCCGCCACCCTCCTCGACGTCCTCCAGCTCATGAACGACGCCTGAGCCCGCCCGCCCGCCCCGTCCGCGTCGTCCTCCACCCATAGCCCTTCGGCTCCACCCCGTCCCCCCCATCACATCGCCTCCCTGCTGCTGCGTGCATCAACAACATAGACGAGGATGGTAGAAGACCGCCGCTGTAGATAGACTGGCCCATGTTTGTCGTTGCCACTCGCTCCTTTCCTCTCCGTTTCGTCTCGTTCCGCCTTGCCTCGTCTCGCCTCGCCCCGCTTCATCGTCGACCCGCCTTTGGCAACCCACAAACCCGAATGTCATGGACCCGCGTATAGCCCAGAGTCGAGTCGCGGGTGCAGTCTCGACGCGTGGCCTGCATCTGCTCGCGTGTACCTGGTGGCAAGGGGAGGGGAGGGAAGGAAGGTTGTACGACCGCGTGGCCATTGCATGCCGCTGCCAACAATGGCAGGGGGGGCAGCAGCATGGTAGTGACGATGTGGTGGCTTAGCCATGCATACGACATGTGTTCGGCCCCTTCGGCCTCTTTTTTGGAGATCGGTGGTCAACCACCCCCCTTGCGCACCTCGACGGGTGCAGGGAGAGGGTGAAAAGACGGCTCTACCACCCACACCTGCCGCTCCTGCCGCCGCTGCCACTGCTGCTGCTATTGCAGCGATCCGCCGACCGCACGCTGCAGTCGTTACTTGGACAGCTTGGAGATCTGCTTTTGAACCGCGTCCATAAACGCCACCGCGTTGGTCGGGTTGCTCATCTGCGAGAAGGGCGCCACACGACCCGGGTGACAGGGGGAAGATTAAGAAGTTGGTGTCAGGATAGCTCGCTCCTGCTGGCTTCACTCATCCCAGCTTGCGACGGCGACGACGACGGCAATGGCGCCGAGGGCGAGCACGGCGGATCCTCCTCACCTTGATGGCAAAGTGGGCCAGGTTGCCGTCTTCGAACGCCACGATCCTAACAAACTTTTCCTGCAGCTCGCACTTCATCCCGGGGAAAAGCGAGACGTTGAGAATCAGGCGCAGGATGCCGTCTGCCCGCATGACTGTGCGCATCGGTCAGAGGGACGCATGAGGAGGATAGAGGGAGGAGAGCGGAGGGCAGGGAGGACGTGAGCTGGTGCGACCTCTCAAGATGCCGGCCTGGCCGACGCAGTACGTACCTAGCCTGGCCGAGTGCTTGCCGTCCCGAGACTTCGGCACATTGACGCGGATCGTGCCCGTCCCTCTCTCTTTCCAGCTCTGGTCGTCGGCCATGGTGTAGAGCTTGGCCCGGACGCTGTGGACGCTCTGCTCGTCCTCTTCCCCCGTGATGACTGTAGTGATGCGGTTTGACAAGTTTGGAGGTCAGCAGGGCCGGGGCTGACGGGTTCGGTCTGGTCTCTCGCGCTCAGCTCACCTTCCTGCTCCGCCGCGTCGAGTGCCGGGCGGTCCTTTGACTTGGTCTCCGTCGTCGCCGAATCCGCTTCGCTCAAGAGCTGCTCGGAAAAGCTCTTGGACGAAGCCACCGAGGTGGCCGGAGCCTGATCAGCGGCCGCAGGAGACGCCTCCTTGGCGCCGGGTCCCGGCATCGTCTTTTTGAGGGGGCTCGCGCCGGCAAAGGCGCCGAAGCCGAGGTTGGACCCCTTTGGTGTCGACGAGCCCGACGTCGAGGCGGAGCCCGCGCTGATGGTGGTGGTCTCGTGGTGTCCCCCAATCGAGGACCCAAGGCTGCTGGGCTTGATACCTCCGCCTTTGGCAAATGGCGAGGCAGAGCCCTGGGCGAACGTCTTGAACGGCGATGCGGAGCTGACGAAGCCGCCCTTGCCCGACGCCGTCGAGGATGATCCCGAAGGTGTTGGGACGGAGCTAAAGGGCGATGCACTGGCGCTGAAGGAGGAAAAGGTCGGCTGGGTCCTGACGGGCGCGGGGGTCTCGGCAGGGCTAGAGGTGGACTTGGTCTCAACTTTGGCGGCCCCCTTGGCCTCTTGAGACAACGATCCGGGGACTGCTGCCGCCGTCGATGCCTCCTCTGCGGCTTCTGTGGTCTTGCCGCCAGGGGCTGTCGAGTCCTTTGCGGCGTCGCCATCTTTGCCCTCCTTCCAGGTGAGGTCTTGGACCTTCTGACGGATCTGGCCGACCCTTTCCGTCTCGGGGGCGGCCTTTGCCTTGTCTTCGACCGACTCTTCGGCAGGCTCGGTTTCTTCTGCAACGTCTTCGGGCCGGGAAGAGGCGCTGTTGTCGTTCTGGAGGCGATTCTTTTTCAGTGGGAGCGAGTCTGGCGTGGCGGCGGTCTGTGGCGTGGTGCAAGACGCGGGCAGAAAGAGGATGAGCGGAGGTCAAATGTGTGTCCAGCCTCGCTAGCTCTGCTGCTTTGTCGACCGGACGAGACTCACGCTGGGGGATGGATTTGCAGAAGGCTCTAGGCTTGTTTCCCTCTCCCGCTTGCGGCTCGCGTGCTCCTCTATCGGAACGAGGGCAGGAACCAGGGATGAGGTTATTCACGTGAGTGTCATGAGGTGTCTTTTGCGCCGCGTTGCCGCCCGCGAGTGGAGCGCAGGCGAGACTTACCTGCGCCATCCTTGTCGAGACTGGTGCGACCCGAGGGCTCTGGCGAGTCTGCTGTGCTGCTGTGCTGAGCTTGGCCGTTTTCGGTATCAAAGGGTGCGACGGCGGTTGCACTGCTGGTCTGCTTGGATGGAGAGGCGACGTCGTCCTTGGCAGGAGAGGAGGTGGCAGGCTTGTGGGAAGCGGAAGACATGTCGACGAGGTGGCGAGGAGAGCGCGAGCCAGCGCGAGGTCGAGAGGTCGAGGACGAGCGAGGACGTGTCGCAGCAGCAATCAGACCGAGAGGAGAGAAGGGAAGGCGGCGCGGGAAAAAAGGACGAGCGCGCGGTGATGACGCTGGGGCAAATGAAAGACGGAGGGAGGAGGGCGAGGAAGGCGAGCTGGCCGGTGCGGAAAGGGCGTAGCGGAGGGGATGGTGGGTGTTGGGGCTGGGTGGGCCCTGAACGGACGACCTGACCCTGGCTTGGCCAGGCCTGGCCTGGCTCATCGCTGGCCGATGCTGTTTTTGCAGGCAGGCATGGGGTCGGCGGCCGACGGGGCAATCGGGCAGCGCAACTCCACCTTGTCCAAGGCAGCGGCCCCACGGCTCCGATGCAGTCGGCCAAGCCAAGTGACGCCCCCACCTGGCCCAGCGCCTGGCCTGCTTACAGCGGCCAGGCCTGGAGAGAAAGGGGGGCGGGGCGGGGGCCAGCCCAGCCCAGCCCAGCTAAGGGGCACCGCCGCCCGCCTTGGTGTGGCTGCGAGCGAGTTGGCGCGTGCGTGATCGCAACCCTGCCTAGTTGCTCCTGGCTCGACACCACCACCACCAGCGCCACCCTCTCTGAGCCCCTGACCACTGCATCGTCATCGCATTGCCCTTGCCGCTGACAGCCCACCCGCCGCTAATCTCATCCGCCCACCGCAACCCGCACCTCGATACACAATGTCGGGCCGACCCATGAACGACGATGAGGTCCTCTCCGAGATGAAGAAGATGGTGAGCCGCAGCAGCAGCACCTTAGGGTAGTGCAGCAACCCTCCCCCAGGGAGCATCCTGACTCACCTCGGCCATCTTGATAATCTCCTGCCCGGCATCACAGGTGGCCTTCATCAAGCAGGAGGCCATGGAAAAGGCCAGAGAGATCCAGATCAAGGCCGACGAGGAGTTTGCCATCGAAAAGGTGAGCTCGGCCACGGTCTGCCGATGCCCTCGCTGCGGGCCTCCCTTTGATGGCCTTGCAGGTCGCTGATGGCGTCCACCAATTCCCCATATCTGCCGCCGTACAGGCCAAGATCGTCCGTCAGGAGGCCATCAACATCGACTCGCAGTACGAGAAGAAGAAGAAGCAGGCCGAGACCGCCCAGAAGATGTGAGCCACGCCCGCGCCCTCGCCCTTGCCCTCGAACTCGAACTCGACCTCGAGCGCTTTCGCTGACCGCAGTTGCGCCGACAACGTTCGTCGCTCTGCTCCGCCCTCTTGCCCCTACCAGCGCCCAATCCACCCAGACCAACAAGTCGCGATTGAAAGTGCTCCAGACCCGCGAGCAGCACCTCCAGACCCTCTTTGACCAGGCAAAGGAGCGCCTCTCGGGCCTCACCGACGACCAGGAGGCGTACAAGAAGCTACTGCAGAACCTCATCCTCCAGGTGAGCCGCAGCAGGCAGGGCGTTGCATGATGGTCTGAGGCAGGCAGCCTAGGCCAGTGCGCTGACCCACTTCCGGTCGTCCTCGTCCTTCCACTCCCGCCTTGCGCTCCGACCAGGGCCTCTTACAACTAATGGAGAAGAAGGTGGTCGTCACGGTGCGATCCAACGACGTCCAGCTGGCACAGGACGCCGCCAAAGGCGCCGAGGCCGACTACAAGGAAAAGTCGGGCCGCGAGGCGTCGGTCGAGGTCAAGGAGGGACTGAGCAAGGACAGCTTCGGCGGCGTCGTCCTCGCCGGCCACGGCGGCAAGATCACCATCAACAACACCCTCGAGGAGCGCCTCAGGCTGCTCGAGGAGAGGATGCTCCCCGAGATCCGCCTCGACCTGTTTGGACCCAACGAGAACCGAAAGTGAGTGTCGGCGAGGCAAGGCGCGGAGAAGCGTCCCATGGCGCTATACTCTCTGGCCCACGCGCATCGTGCACGAGTGGCGAGCAAGTGACGATCGGTGGCTAACCTGTCCAACCCCCTCCACTCTTTGTCCGCATGCTCCACCTGTCGCAACAGGTTCTACACCTAGGCCAGGCCCGGCCCGGTCAGGCTCCTCTGCTTTTATTCTCGTCTCGACCCCGTTTCCCTTCCATCCCGAGTCTCTAGACGCGCCAGCATCGATCCCCTTTTCGCCGTGAACTCACCTCGACCCGCTTTGTGCACGCGGACCCGCATCGCCGAGACGCTCGTGTCGCAACGCCATGGTACGCACCGCCTCCTCGTGTCAAATGCAAGACTCATGTCGCTACCGGCATGGGCGCTAGCGCGAGGGTGCTGAGCCGTCGCGCATTGCCACTGCCACTCCAGCGGAGGGCGGGGGTTTTGGTAGCCTGCGATTTTGGTTGAAGCCCGGGCGCTAAATGTACAGGAACAAGGCGGGGTGAGGAGCGAGGAGATGGGGCGGGAAACCTGGCGATGCCGGGGGGGATCAGGCTGAAGCGAGCCAGGTGTCGCCGTGTGCAAAGCTGCCTTGCCACCCAACGAGGCTCACGGCGGAAGGCACGGTGTGAGACGGTGGACAGCGCGACGGCAGCAGCGGAGATCGGCGCAACCGACTGCCTCTAAGGGCGCTCTCCTCGCGGCAGCGACCACTGGCAGCTGAGGATGAGGTTGTCGTAGCCCTTGCCGTCGACCTTTTGCCTCGCCCGGTCGGCATCCTCGCGAATCTCGAAGCTGACAAAGGCGTAGCCCTTGCAGGCGCCCGTCTCGCGGTCGCGGCCGACGTAGACGCGGACGACGCGGCCGTACCGGCTGAAAAGGTCGCGCAGGTCATCGTCGTCGGCATCCTCGCTGAGGTTGGTGACGCGCAGCGTGGGCAGGTCGTCTCTCGAGACGCCGCCGAGCCCGCCCATCTTCTCGCCGGCGCCCTTGGCACCAGCCCGCATGCTGGGCGGAACGTACTTTCCACCCGCGCTCGCGGCGACGGCCGGGTTGGTCGGGTCCATGGCGGCGGGCGTGAGGGTGCCCTCGCCGCCCTCGGGGGTATCGGCATCGCCGGCGCCGGGGATGGCCTCGAGCGTGTCCTTGTAGGGACACTTTGTGGTGAAGTGATCGCCCTTGCAGAGTCGGCAGACAATCTTCTTGTTGGCGAGCTGCTGTCGGACCTTGTCCATCTCGTCGACCTCGGGCTCATCCTGAATTCGAGCGGGGCAGCGGTCAGGGGCGAAGGGGATGGGGGACAATGGAGAGGTGAGCGATTGGTCAAGGTGGGCAGATTGGGTGCCCTGACAGATGAGCTGGTCAGCGAGCCTCGGCACCGCGCTACTCACCCTCTTGTTGCCGGCGCCCATCTTGAGGAGCACGTTTTCGCCAACCGTGGTGGTGCTCGAGTGCGGACCAGCGGAGCGGCCCTTCTCCTGGCCGAACTTGGTCCACGCCTTTCGCTCTGCGACGTCGTGGTTGACCTTGGTCTTGATCAGGGTCCTCTTGACCCGTCGGGTGATCTGGTGCGTAGCAGTCGGCGCAAGCATAGCGGTCGCCGGCGGTCAGTCGGGGTCAGAGCACGTCCTGAGGACGCAAGCAGGCATCGGGGCACCTGCAACGTACCTTGACCTTCTTTCCCTCCGGCGTGGTGCGGTACTCGATGATGACCTTGACACCGTTGCCCTCATCCCTCTCCTCGATCTTGGGGGCGTCGGGCGTGACTGAGGGGAGATGCAAAGTGAGTCAGGCCGAGTGGAAGTCCGAGTGAGCGGAGCGGCAAAGAAGTGCGTGAGCCAGGCGGAGACGCAAAGCGCTCACCATCCTCGTCGACGTCGTCGGCCCAGTTCATCGACGACTTTGTGGGGTCGGTGGGGGCGGGGCTGTAACCGGAGGAAATAGAAAGGGGAGGCGTGCAAGCGGCAGCGATCCTCGAGAGGCATGGTCAGCTGGTCGAGCCGGGTGTAGCCCCATCGACAACAGGCGTGGCGGCAAGAGGAGACACTAACGGCACTTGGACCGGAGACATGGCTGGAGTAGTATGTGGTGGGCGGCGGCGGCGGGGGCGGCTGGCTAAGGTGAGCGAGGCGGTCTGTGAGGGTTCGAAGTGGCGATCTGACGTGCGAGGTGGCGGACTGTGCGTGGCGCGACGTGCAGTGTCGAAGGCGATCGATGCGAGGTGGTGATGGTAGTGATGGCCGGTGGCTGCGGAGACAAGATGGCTGGTTGGTGTTCGTCGGTCGAGCTATGGGTGCAAGCCAGCCAAGGAGGCAGGGGCCGGTGGGCTGCGCGCGCCGTCAGTCGAGAGGCCAGCCCGCTCAGCTGGGTTTTTTCTTCTCTCGCTCGCTGCGTGGCCTCAGCTGCTGGCCGGACTGCTTGCTTCTGGCTGGCCACAAGTGGGCGCTGTTGGGACGACGCACTTTTTTCGAATGGCAGGGGGCGCGGGCCGACGCAGGCTGGGGATGCACGCCCTGGCTTGCGTCGCGGTCGTCCCCTCGACTCGACTCGACGCAACGACGGGCGGAACCGAGCGAGCCAGAGCCACGCCCAGAAGCCAGCCCGCCCTCCGCCGAGAAGAAAAGCGAGGCCAGGCCTTGAGGGGGGCGAGGACCAGCCAGGCCGGCCCATCGAGGCAGAAGGAAAAAACCGCTCTCGGCAGCAGCACCACCAGCCACCACCACCACCTTCAACTACCGCGCTCACCATCACACCCAGTCGTGGCCTCTTCCTCCTCGTCCGATCCCCCTACCTCGCCATCCTCGCTACCTCACACCGCCTATCTGCGGCGCTGATATTCGCACCCGGCGAGCTCATCCTTGCTTCTCCTTGGCCGCCTACACCGCGCCCCTCTGCCGCCCTCAAGTCCCACCGCCCCCTTCTCACTCGGTCCTCGAGCTCTGCATTGCATTCGTATCCACCATCACCGCTGCCGCCCACTCGACCTTGGCCTGCCTCGCGATGAGCTCCAGGAAAGCGACCTCCTCCCTCTTCGGCCTGGCAGCCCGATCAGCGCAGCCCGCCAGGACCGCGTCTGCTCCGCGCCCGCTGCAGCCGACACAGTCGACGTCGACGCGCACCCTCTCCTCCTCTGCACGCCCGTACCGCCCCCACCCCTCGCCGGTAGCGACGGCAGCCTTTTCTTCGGCCGCATCCTCGTCCTCTTCATCGTCTGCATCGTCGACGCCGCCACCACCATCATCCACATCCGCCGCATCTGCGTCCGATCTCGGCCGCGTGCCAGCGCAGCCGCTCGGCGCCAACCTCTCGTCCCAGGACATCCTCGCCCACTTTTCCCGACCCCCCTTCCCCTCGACAAATCTCCTCGGAAACGACGCCGAGCTCGCCAAGCGCGCCATGACCCACGAGAGCTTCATGTACGCAAAGGACGGCCACAACAGGCGGCTCGCCTTCCTCGGTAAGTGGCGCCGTATCCCTCGCCGATGAGGCTGGGCACCTTTGCGATAGGCGGCTCCATGTGCTGACTCTCGCGTCGTCGCCTTCTATGCTCTTCTCGGCTCGGCCATGGCATTCGCTTCCCCTCTCCCGCAGGGCGGAGATCGTTGAAGATGTTTGTCGTCCTCTTCCTCCACTCGTGCCTCAACACCGCCTCGCTCTCTGCATCCTCGCGCTCCTACATCCAGCGGCTGCTCGAGTCGCCCGACCTCGAAGACGTCGTCCACACTTCGAGACTAGGCGACAAGATCGGGCGCGAGCTGCAGCTCGAAAAGGCCATGCGCTGGACGCCCGCCGTGACCGACGGGCAGCGCGGCCCGCTCGAGACAGGCCTCTTCAAGATCCGCGGCGTCTGCCTCGAGGCCCTCGTCGGCGCCGTCTACCACCACTCGGGCGCCGACAAGGCCAGCCGTTTTTTCCACGCCCGCATCCTGCCCTCGTTACTCTCCGAGACGTTCCCCCAGGGCCTGCCCGACGAGATCAAGGAGCTCGCGGCGCGGCGGCAGGAGGAGGCCGACAAGGCCCTCGCCTAACCCTATCTTCGGCCTGAAAGGAGCGGCAGAGGAGGTGCAGTCGGGATGCAGATGTCGAAGGAGAAGCAGGACGAGGAGGCAGCATCAGGTCCTCGTATGCGCTGCTGGCCGCCGATGCTAGCAGCGTCACATTTTCCGGACGGGGGACGTCCGCAGGTAATGGCAGCAATAACAATGCATTCACCCGCCCCTCGCGCCCGCGCCTAATCAGGCGCTGCCGTGCGCCTGCACGAGGGCCCAGCAGTTGCGCATGCCCGTGCCCAGGCTCTCGGCCTCTACCTCGGCCTCGGACGCCCACCGCGCAGGAGCACGGTAGTGCATTCCCGTGCCGAAGTTCTTGTTCTTGGTCGTGGTCTTGTCCGCCCCGCTCTTGTCGGGCTCGAGTTCGTCGTCGTCGTCGTCGTCTTTGTCGACCTTGTCCAGCGACGGTTCCGGATCGGCTTCGGCGGCGGGGGAGAGGGTGACGACAAAGA